TTTTTTTTGGTACCGGGGATCGAACTTGGGTCCTTGCACTTGCGCAGCAGGCTGCGAAACCACTGGGCTAAATCCCCAGCCCAGGGGAGCTATATATTAACACACCAGGGCAGTGGTGTCGAACCTATGGCACGTGTGCCACAGTGGACTGTTTGTATCATTGAAAGTTCTAAAAGGTATGCCATCACTGCACTCGGGTCTTCTAGGGAAGGAATGGGTGCAGTTGTTACTGGAACTACAGCAGGTTGTGCACGTCAAATTTGGGACCTTTCAGCAGCACAATAAATTGAATTTCATGTGCAGGGACCTACTCCTTTTTGCCCACCACCGTTATGTTCAGTTTTCTTTTCAAGTTTTTAAGTAGCTTTGAGTTGATCAGAAGATGCAGGTGGATTGTTGCTAAAACAATGCAAATATTAAGCCAAAAGGAAAGAGGTGGTTGCTGATATTTGCTAAATAACTGCCTTAGGCTTTAGCATCAACACCATCAGGTTGACAAGAGTGGTGGTGTCCAGTCTTTGATTCCCATAAAATTTTGGGGGTTAGACGGAGGAAATTTGTTATACCTTGTCATGACAGCTCTATCTCTAGAACTTAGAGGTACAATTGACACAGCCACAAGTAGGAAGGGTCACCTGGGCTCTTCCGGTTCTCCCTGGGCTGCCTTGTGTGTCTGTGATGAGAGGACCAGTCAGATTTGGGAAGGAGTGACTGGTTCTTTTTTGTTCTTGTTACTTAGCTGTATTTCAGCACATGTAGGGGTTAAGGCTTCCTCTAAGAGCATGTCCTACATTAAGAGAATTTCTTTTCCACCTATAAATTGGGGTATAGCATGCTACAAGCTTTCACCATGGAGTCAGCAGAGTTCATCAAAATGTCCATCTTTCCATTTCTTTGCCCCTTGGGATGTGCTATGAATGCCTAATAAAACATTTGACTGCAGAGTTTTCATACACATTTTCTGATTTGACCCCCAGATAAACCTAGAGAACAAACAAAGCTATTAAAATTCTACAGGTGATAAAGCAGCCTTAGAATTTGACTGAGGCTCAGGCAGTTTGTTCCTGGGCCATGGGTATCTTCTCACCCTGGGGCACTCAGGACTCCTCCCACCCTCCCTTTCGCCTTTCGCCTGGTCTGTTCCAGTCCCAACCCCCACACGTCTCCACCTTTCACTGCACACATATAGTTCAGGCAACACTGTCCCAAGGATGATCTCTTCCTCTCCCACTTCATGCCAGACTCACTTTCGAACCATTCAAGACTGGTCACTTTCACTTCAGAGGCCCCTTGCCAACTTTATCGATCTCTCTTCAGGTGGCTTGTGAAACTTTACTACAGTTGCAGCTTCTTTGCCTCTCCCCCATTTTTCTAGGCATGTGTGAATGGCAGAGGGGGACTGAGAGGGCAAGGAACTCCTTCCTAGTATCCGCCACATCAGGTCAGTGAATGTTCCCCTACATCCTCCACATTGGCCTTATGCTCATCTCCATTATAAGAGCCACTCTACTCCTGCCTGCCTCACTAGAACAAAAAGAATTAGGAGTGCTTGTTGGTGATACTCTAGCACAGGTGTATCTGGTCATTAAGCACAGAAATGTAAATTTTAAATTTCCTTTCCACCAGGCTGGATGTTGCCTGATGGCAAAGGTAATAAACTTTTCATCCTGTATTTCTGTGTGATGTGGACAAGCAGACGTGCCACATTATAAGAATCAGTGAGCCAAGGCAAAGGCTGGCAAAGCCATTAAGGGGTCTTGGGAATCTCTGCTATATCAGCTGTTGAACTCAGAAGGCACCTGGATCCTGACTTGATTCTAGTCCTTGATTTAAAAAAAAAAAAAATCAAGGTTGTGGCATTGGGTTGGAGAAGTAGTCAACTCAGGAAACATGATGCTGGAAAGTCAGACCACATAAGAAAAATATGATAAGGCACAGACATTAAAGCAAAAAGATACAGAAATAATTGTATAAGTTCCATTGTTTCAAGTGCTAAGAAATGAAAATTAGGGAGTACTCTGAAAACTTAGAATGGGGAACTTCTGACATGGCATGGTGGATTTAGGGAGGTCCCCAAGAAAATTACATTTTTGCTGAAATCTTATAAAGAAAAATAGGGAATTAGTCAGGCCAAGCAGTGGATATGGATTAACAGCATCATCTTTGTGAGGCAAAATGAATTGGTTTTTCTGAAGGTTTCAAAGTCCTAAGATTATATATATATATATATATATATATATATATATATATATATATGTATGTATGTACATATTATATATAATGGTACCTTCTGATTATAACTTTCGATTATCCATATTATATCTGTGGCTATAATCACTTTTTTGTTTTTAATGTTGGATATTTTTGTTGTCTTTAGTTTCTTCTGATCAAACTACTTGTCTTTTTATTATTATTTCTGTTCAAAAGATTCAGCTTTTTGGTGTATAGTTTATGCTGTTTTTCTCATTTCAAAGTCTTTGTTTTCTGCACTCATGCTGTGGGTGTGTTTGATGTGCTCGAGGAGGTGCCCAACAGAGAACTGTGCATCCATGACTAGGACGCCGGAAGCCAGACACCAGCCAACAGGCTGGGGCAGAGTCCTGGCACAAGGCAATGACCTCCTGAAATAGGGTAGTGAAAGGGAGGAAGGGGCTTAGGGGATTCACATGATTACAAAAGTGGGTGAGGGAGACTAATTGGCTGTGGGGTGGAGGAGAGTCCCCAATCAAATCAGAGGCCTCAGACCTGATAAAGATAGCGGGGTGGGCTGCACGAGGGGAACATTAGGAGAATGGGACTTTAGGACCTTAGCAGAATGTGGCTCCTGCAGATTGCCAGCTGATCTCTCACTCTCTCTCTCTTTTGGAACTTCTCACCATGTTTTGACAAAAGCACTTTTCCAAGCCTGGCTTTGCCCAGGGGTATTTTTAGACAGTGACTCAGCAGAGTAAAAGTTTTCAGAATCCTCCTGTTAAGAGAATGGTCCCAGCCCCAGATTTCCTGAGGGCAGCACAATGTAGACAGAGCTCTGTGCCAGCTCTGTGTTCTCCTTTGGAGGTAGAAAGTTCACACGTTGCAAAGGGGAAGCTTTTTGGAAGATAGTACCAAGAACTGGCTATCAAAAACCTAAACAAAAATGAAAAAATGTACACAAAACTCCAAGAGAGAGCTATACAACAATTCCTGGTATTCTTGTTTCTGTTGTCTCAAATACCTGCCTTCCCCTCTCCTGTCCAAACCCACCCTTCCTTCCCTCTTCCAGGGCCATATTCACCCAGCCTTTCTATGAGTCCCCATTCCTGAAGCCAAGGGCATACTCAGATTGTCTGCGCCTCTGGCCACCTCACAGCTTTCGAAGATACAACCAGGGATGGCTCCTAAAAATTTGTTAAGCGACACATGACTGTAAATGGTAAATGAAGAGTTGTTTTTTTCTTTTTTCCTCTCCTATAGTACTGCAGAATAAATGCAAAAGCCCTGTTCAGTCAGGGGTCAGCAAAATTTTCTTAAAGGGCCACTTATTAAATACTAGGGCTTTACAGGCTAGTGGGTCATTGCCATATCTACTACTACACTGTTTTCTTAGAGTTTGAAAACGAAGACAACACAAAGATGAATGAGTTTTGCTGTGTACTTCTGAGACTTCAGTTATGGATACTGAAATTTGAATTTCATATTATTTTCATATATCATGAGATAGTTTTCTTTTGAGACTTCCTCCAACACTTAAAAATGTAAAAATCATTTTTAGCATGCAGGCTTTACAAATGCAGGTGCTGGGCCAGATCTGCCTCATGGCTGTTGTTTGCCAAGCCCCAGTATAGCCTGGAGAAGATGCACTGCAAAGCCTGTGTCTCCTTCAGTCCATTAGACAATCACCTGAGTGTTGTCTCAGTGACGGCAGCAGGATCCCCCTCCCTACACTCTTGGCTGACACATGTGCTACCTTCCTCGGACTGTCATCCCTCTCATGTTCTAGATCTCAACTGAGGTGGTACTTTACCTGAGGAGTCACCTGTGGTTCAACTCTGGGTTGGGTGATCCTTTACACTTCCATGCATGATGGACTTCCTGAGTCCAAACATGTTCTGAATCTTGGACTTCCTGTATCGTGGTCCTATCCACACAATATTATAAAGACTGGTAATGCTGGTGTCCCTCCCTCCCCTCCAGCTCTGTGGCCAGATGAGGCCAGGGTTTTTGGTGTCCCCTGAGTTTATTACTGAATCCCAGTGCTTAACAAGAACAAAACAGAACAAATCAAAACTGAGGATATCTTAGTGCTTATTGATTGAATGAATTATTGAGGAAATATATGGTGAATCTTTAAACTATTTGAAGCACTCTAGAAGATTAAGGAGATCAATGGACCAAGGATATAAAAAAATTAACACATGAAAACTTAGAAACTAGTTAGACGATACTGGGGAGATACTAAATGACTTGGAGAAAGAAGAAAGCAATGAAGACAAAATAGTTAAAGAAGGTTTAATGAAAAAGTGGGCCTTGAACTTACCTTGAAGACTGTAAGGTGAAATAAGTAGAAGGAAAACGTGTTCAGGGTTTTTATTTCCAGAACGAAGCATTAGAAAGAATGTTTGGGTCTGATTCTTCTGTACCAGATTCTACTCTTTGCAGTACTACCCTCTGGAACTCATGGTTTTACTGAGTGGACTATCAGGGAGGAGTGAGAGGAGTTCTGGAGTTTCTTTTTCAAAGAGCATTGCTTGTTTTCTTCTAGAGACACAGATGTGCACACCGTAGCCTCTCTATTAAAGCTCTACCTCCGAGACCTTCCAGAGCCTGTGGTTCCCTGGAGCCAGTATGAAGGGTTCCTGCTCTGTGGGCAGCTCATGAACGCAGATGAGGCCAAGGTTCGTGACTCTTTGGTTAGTTGTCTTGCTTTAGAAGAAAATGATGGGTTTCCTGAACAGTCTTGTGCAGTGGGTTAGGGTCTCCTACACCCTTTGATGAAATACTTTATCAATCTGGTACTTCCTCAACCACAGAGGGCAGATGATACCAATCACAATGCTTTCATGGAATATCATAATCTGATAAGGAAATGGACCATAATCAAATGTCTCAGAATCACTTATAAAATAATGAGAATAGGAGGATACTTCTGAGAAGGCTTTCAAGCACTGTGACCCCGATGAGACATGCTGGGACTCAAGGACAGGCTGACCAAACAAAGTGGAAAGCAGACGTGGGGTTGGACTGTTCAATCTCTGTGATACCAGAAGATGTCAGGCAGGTCATTCAAGGAGTGCATGTGCCAGTGAGAAGAAGGATAAGGAGGTTCCCTTTGATCTTTTCAACCACAGCTGCCAGTAGGGTACATAGTCACCATTTGCTGTATCATGTTGGTGAAAATATACACGTTCACCTGTAGGATTTCTGACCCTGGCAGGACAAAGAGACCATGATCTTTCTCACTGTTGAAAATATGACAGAGTTGGTGGGAGAGGTGGTCTATAGCAACTTTTGTAAAGAAATCACTCAGCTCAGCTAAAGAGAGAGCACTCTCACCATGGAGCAGGCACTCTGGATTGGAGAGTCTATACCACGGTGTTGTGTGAGGCCTGACAAACCTTCAGGGAATGGTTACTCCAGGAGACCAGCTCAGGTTTGTGATGAAGGGCGTCCCAGGTCTGAGGAAGGCCCACACACTTTACCTGAATGTGTGCATCATGACCATCATGAGAAAGCTTTAGAGACAGCTGTGGCTGGAAAGAACAAAGAGCTCCCTGTGTTTCCTCTTGCCGGCACAGGCATTTCTTGAGTGGCACACCCGACATCCATGACCACCACAGAACTTGTAAAGCCCAACCTTATACCTTCCCTGCAGCTCAATCAGCCTGTCTTTTGTCCTAGCAGGTCTCAGCAAGGCCTCAGTGCTTGAAAGTCTTCTCAGAAGCATCTTCCCTTCTTCACCACTTCAGAAGTGATTCTGAGCTATTTTATTGTGGTCCAATTCTTTGGTGGATCATTACTTCTCAAGCGTCCATTAAGCAAATAATTAGTGTGAGTTGTCAAATTGTCAATGCCTTACAGTAGTTAAGTTAATCAGGAGTGGGACAGGGTGGCATAATTGCAGACAAATTTAAAAATTACACTGCACCCAAACTGTGGCCTTCTCTATACTATTTCTTGAAACTTTCTGAGAATTTGTAGTGTTCCAAGTAAATTTTTTAAAACAACTCACAAAACCATAAGATCAGGAATGATTGCCAGAGAGTGACTGCTAAACTAGTGTTTCCATCGAGATACACCAGTTATGTTGCCAGGTCTCATTGCTGGCAAGTGGGAAATCTTGCCTACTGGTGTTAAAATTTTCTTCCTAGGCTCAGCAGGAGTTGACAAAGCAGCTCTCCATCCTTCCTCGGGACAACTACAGCCTCCTGAGCTACATCTGCCGGTGAGTTCCTGGTGTCAACTCTACAATTTTCAGTCACATCAGAAAGAGCCCCCTGGTTAGAAGAGGAAGGACTTATCTTTGGGATCACAGAGATTCTAGTTGAGAACTTTGGAGAGTCAACTCTATTCACATAGCAGAGAGAGAGAGAGAGAGAGAGAGAGAGAGAAGACAGTGTGTAGGATCCCTAAAAACACAAAATAAGCATGCTCCTTCATCTGCTGTAGCGCTGCCCAGACTCCTGGTAGTGTGACAGAACCCTGAACCCTTATGTTTCTAGAATTGTTTCTGGCTTCCTCACTCTGGACCACAACTTAATGACCCAGAGACATTCATTCCAGGGCCACCCAATTTGTTCTCCTTCAGACCTTTCTGGGAACCTGCCAGGTGCCATTTTTGTGACAACATCTAGTTTGTGGAAAGATCCAGCTCTGCTGCTTTGGGAACCTGAATCTTTGTCACAGGCAGACCTTAATTTTGACTTTTATTTTTAAAAAATGCACATCCATATTATAAGAATGTTACTTTCTTGATTTAGATAAAAGGAAGATACAGCAAACTATAAATAAGAAATAAAAATTAATCACGACACCTTGTCCAGCAACAATAACACCTGGGCTTATATCTTCCTGAGTGTTTCTCAACATTTTTATACCCAATTGAAATTTTACTATATATATTATATTTACCCCCCCCCCACACACACACATATAGTTTTATCTCACTTTTTTGGTTTGCAATTATATTGTGTTTACCTTAGGTTGCAAAATAGGATTATAAATGACTCCATGAGATTCCACAATGTCTCAACACTTGGGTCCATCACCCTTTATTTAATAATATCTCCATATTTGCAGTCCTATGTTGCTTCAATCTATCTATACTGATCTGCTCAGTTTTCTTATTGCAAGTGATTTTTAAAGTTTCATGCAGCAAATGAGAAGCATAATAAAAACTGATTATTAGTTATTGAGATGTTATCAGAGATGAGTGGTGCTCTCATCAGAGGATGAGAGTGAGGAGGTCCCATGGATTCCCCATCTCGAAGATCTTGTCACTGATCAAATTTTCCTCTCTGGAGATGTGGGTAGGATAGTTGCTGAGAGCTAGGAGATAAGCCTATGATAGCAAGGCAAGGGGGCAGTTAAACACCACTGTTAGTCCTAGTCACCTCTTAGCACCCTGAACTGAATGATCCTAGTCACCCACTTATGTGATTCTCCACCAGAATCCTCACCCTGCCCCTGGCAGCTTATGTAAGTAGTCCCTCATGGTGTCTCTTTCCATATTGATCTTGGATCTTTCAGGTCAGAGCTTAACTCTTGTGGGCAAACTGGGCTGGTTTTATTCTTGACACAGGAGGAAAGAGTTGAAATCCAATAAGTGCCTCATTGGTACCTAGAAGTACGTTTCTTGGCAACTTCCTATTTTCTACTATGGGATTTCTTGGCTGCCTACAGGTTTCTACATGAAATTCAGCTAAACTGTGCTGTTAACAAGATGAGTGTGGACAACCTGGCTACTGTAATTGGTGTGAATCTCATCAGGTCAAAGGTTGAAGACCCTGCTGTGATCATGAGAGGTACATAAGGCTGGTCCTGCAATGAAGGCATGCACAGAGAAAGGAACAATAACACTGTTGCTAATGTTTGTGCCCTGCTCTGCAGTTTGCAAAGCGTGTTCAGCTGCTTGTCTGAATTGTATTAAAAGCTCTATGAGGTAGGCAGAGCTAGAATTAGATAGATTTTCCAGATCACAATAGAGAGAGAGGTCAGGGATTTGCCCAATGGTTATCCAACCCAGTGGGCTACCGTGAAAAGAAAGTTTCCTGGTCTTTACCCTTAGCCAGATAGAGAAAACAAGGTTTCATTTTATAAGCTATCTCATGGAGAGGCTGCTGTAAAGCTGGGTGGAGAAAGTTCTGAGCATGTTAGCTTAATAAGCAAAAGTCTTGGCATAGAGTACTGACATCTGCCATGGGTGTGAGGAGGCAGTATGCATGACACACATTTGCTATGTGTCCAATAAGAAACCAGATGTCATATTGAGGGCCACAACCAGAAAGAAAGATGTCTTTCTTTTCCCTCTTGTTTTACTGGCTAGTTTTCTGCTTAAAAACTGACCCGGTGCAATATAGGCCGAAAAGAACTGTAAAAAGTCCCTTCTTGTACCCTATATCCACATTCTTCTTCTAGTCCATCCATTTCACCATAATCTCCCACTCAAAGTAATTAATTTTATTTACTTATTTATTTATTTTTATTCATTATGTTTATTGGTACATTTCATGTATACAATAGCAGCCCAGTTTGTAATAGCTACGACTTGGAAACAGCCCAGATGCCCATCAACTGGTGACTGGATAAAGACCATGTGGGATTTTTTTTTTGTTTTTATAAAATGGAGTATTGCTCAGCCAAAAAGAGAAACTAGAGACCTTTATAGCTAAATGGATGCACATTGAGACCCTATTCTTAAGTGAAATAAATAGAACACACGTGTAAATACTGAATAGTTTCTCTGGTGTGAGAAACTGAAAGTGTAAATGAGGACCAAAATGTATAACAGATAATGTGAAATAGGAAGAAAAGGTCCAAAGGGGAAGGTTAAGGGGAAGTAGGTGGGGTAGGGAAAAGGAAAGAAAGGAAAGGAAAAAATATGAGAACAGGAAAAACAGAAACAAAAGTCTTTGTAAATAGGGAGGGGTGGAGGGGTTGAAGGGAGGGCAGGGGAAGGGGGAAAGTCTCATTCAAAGTCATTAAGAAGGGACCTGTGAGGAGCAAAATGAGTGCACCAGGCCCTGTGGCTTTAGGGCCAAGTTTGGATATATAATGTTGGTGAGAAACTTTGAGGGCTTCCTGCCTCCTATCCTGTGATTCAGCACAGCAAACCTCTTTCTTTGTTCTTTCAGGGACTCCTCAGATCCAAAGAGTGATGACCATGATGATCAGAGACCATGAAGTCCTCTTCCCCAAGTCCAAAGACACACCCCTGTCACCCCCTGCTCAGAAAAATGACCCCAAGAAACCTCCAGTGCCCCGAAGTTCCGTGGGCTGGGATGCCACTGAAGAGCCTTCCATGTCTAGGACAGACAGCTTCAGTAACGTGGTAAGACACAGACAGCCTTTCTGCCTCCACTGGACTCTTCCTGTGTTCCAAAGCATTTCACATAAGAGCTGCTCGAGGGTGAATGTTGGGAGAGACAAATGATGCTGGGGCAGTGTCTGTAGCTGATGCAGACCATTCCAGCACATCTTGGAAGCCTGGCTTCCTTCAAGGCCCACTCTCTGTTGGCGTCCTGGAGGGGGTGGTGTGACTATGTGCCTGTTGCCCGGAGGTAGGCAATGGAGCCTCTAGGAGAAACCTTTTCAAATACTGTACAGTCCAGGGTAGTTCAGGGGGAAAAATAGATACCATATTGTAAACGTTTTGGTGAGAGTTGTTAAAAATTCTGTGTGAAAGTCCAGAGAGAACTGGTTTCCTGTTAACCCTGAAACGTGATTCCTTGCTTAGAGTATGTGATATTTCGTGTAATATTTCTCATTCCCTGATAAGCCGCCTCAGCAGTGTCAGCCCCCTCATTTGTACCGAGGGGTTGGAACTCACGTTCTCAGTATCCCAAAACTGTGCAGACTCCAAGATGCAGACTACTTAAGGGCAATAATTTGTAAAGGTCAAATATTTTTATATATTTATAGAAGCAAATATTTTTTCAAAGAACATATGAACTTTATATGCAGCTTGATTCTTTATGTGTGGCTAAGAAATGAATTTAAGATTTCTGACTGACCACAAAACTCAAATTACCTATAGTATTATTAATCCTGCAAATGAAAAATAAAAGTAGTAATGGTAATGATTGTATTTTTTTCTTAGATGAGGCTTATCTGGGAACAAGCAACTTACTAACATCCTAAAACTAAATTATAATTTCAAAATGCTGATATTTCATGTAATAAAACCATCCCAGCAGTCCCTGAGCATAGCGGCTATGCTCATTTAAAAGGTTCCCACTATTTCTCATTCACTTTGGGCAGCCACTATGCTGGGAAATTTAAATAGATCATCTTTGAAGTCTTCAACATACCTTTATAGGGCAGAATTTATTATGTGCATCTTCTGATTGAGGAACTGAAGCTAGAGAGGTTGACCAGTTGCCCAAGATGGGCCTGTTATAGGATTGGACTCAGCCTAGTTCCTACTTCAGGAATCAGGTGCTTCTGAATCTAGAAGGCGTTACTGAAGCAGGTGACCAGCTAGAAGGTAAAGAAAGCTTGAACTCTGATGTTTTCATTTTTATGTTTTGAGCTCCTTCTCTCCTTCTCCCCCTCTCTAATTGGAAAATTTGTGATATATACACATGATTAAAAAAATTAAAAAGACAGAAAAAGTTATACATGGAAAAGTCCTGTTCCCTGCCCTATCCCCACACCCCACACACCTTATATTTCTCTATCTATTAATTTCTCATTTACCCTTCCAGTGTTCCTTTATGTAATATCAGTACAAGAATACATGAATGTAAATTATTACTTTTCCTCCTTTTTAATACAAGATATAGTTTAATCTCTCTGTCTTTCTCTCTCCACACACACAACACACACACACACACACACCTCTGTATCTTGCATTTTTGAACCTAGAAGTGTAACCTGGAGACTTTTTCATATCAATACATAAATAGCATATTCTCATGCTTTTGGCAGGTGTATAGTGTTCCATTCTGTAAACGTACTTAACAGAATCTACACCTAGGAAAGTTATTTTCAGTCTTTTGCACACACAGAAAAACAAAGTTGCAATGAATAACTTTGAAAATACCTCCTTTTGTACCCAGGCAGATTTATTTCTGGGATAAATTCCAGAAGTAGAATTGCTGGGTCAGAATAAAAGTAAACTTAAATGTGTAATTTTGACAAAAAACAGCATTTGTGCTATTTTATACTTATACAAACAATGCAAAAAATCCTGTATCGCTACAGTTTCTGCAACAGAGTGTATTTTCTAATGTGGTTTTGGTTGCCTATCTGATAGGTGAGAAGTAGTATCTTAGCAATTTTAATTTTTGCCAGTAGTGGAGATTGAACCCAGGACTTTGTGTCTGCTAGACAAGCTCTCTACCACTGAGCTACATCTTTAATCCTTATTAAATTTTATTTTGAGACAGAATCTCACTAAGTTGTGCATGTCATCTTTGAACTTGTGGTCCTCTTGTGGCCTTGGCCTCTGGAGGAACTGGGATTATAAGTGTGTGCCACTGTCCTGCTTAGTAATCTTTATTTTGAACTTCTCTTATTCTGAGAAAGTTTGAACATCTTTTATAATGTGTACAGGCCAGTTGTATTTTTTCCTGTATTGACTGTCTAATTTTGTCCATTGACCATATTTATATTGATTATTGGTCTTTTTCTTTTTCAATTTTTATAACCTTTATTTAATAGCAGCCAACAGGAGTAACCCCTTTGTATATGATGGAGAATTACCTATATATGCATTGCAAATATTTGCCAGTTTGTCATTTGATATTTGATACAGTATATGGTGATTTGCTTACTTTGGGTTATTTTAATTTTGGAGGTCATGGAAATCTACATCAATTAAATTTATTTTACTTTTCTTTATGGTTTCTGGATTTTGAGACATAGTTTAAAATATATTTCATCTTAAGCTTATAGGATCCTAATTTAAGATTCTTTTGCCACAGACAAGCCAATTATTTTAGTCAGCACTTTATCTCTAGAGTACGAATTAGTTCCTTAATTGTAAAACTTTGAAAAATTACCAGGCAGATAATTAACCAAGCTAATAAATTAAGACATGATCTTCTAATTAAGAGTGTCACAGGTGTGCAATCAGGAAAACATTTTCTTCTAGGTCTCTAATCCTTATTTTGGGGGTGTGGCACACAGGTGAGAAAACTCATGTGATAACCATGGCCTTTTTTTCTAGACAAGTGACTCAGATGCCACCAGCCCCATAGCATCACAGCCAAATGACAGGCATCAGGATGACAGCAGCAAAGTCCCCGGAGAAAAGCCAGGAGATTGGAAGGTGCAATCTCGAAAAAGGACTCAAACACTCCCTAACAGGAAATGTTTCTTGACATCAGCTTTTCCGAGTACCAACAGCAACAAAGTGGAGATCTTTAAAAATGAATTTTGGTCACCTTCATCAAAGGCTAAGGTAGGAGAAGGGCACAGGAGAACCATGTCTCAAGACTTACGCCATCTTTCTGACTCCCAGCGGACTTCAACCTATGATAATGTCCCTACCCTGCCAGGGTCCCATGGGGATGGAGTGGGTACACTCTCTTCCCCTACCTCTGACTTCAAGAGAGATGCTCTTGCCAGCACAAACTCTGAAACAGGGCCTGAAGGAAAGAACTCTGCAGAAGAGGAACTTGATTCTTTGCAGAAGATGGTCCAGGACCTACGGAAGCAAATAGAAACACAGAAGAAAACATATGAGGAACAGATTAAAAAGTAAGTTAATACAAAGAACCATTGGGAACTGCCAGGCTTCCACCTTTAGAAGCCATCTGGATTGTTCTCAACTGCCGAAAAAGTCACATTATAAACTTTCTACGTAAGAAAGATAGCAATATAGCCGCTGAGTCTAATACGGAAAAGGGTTAAGGTAGGGATGGGACAAGTAAATTACTGCAAACCCTACACTTTAATGAGTTATAAAAACTTAAATACCTAGCTTAAGTAGCTAAACTAACAATTTCCTAATAGCGATTCTTCATGGATCATCATACTATACTGAATTAAAAGAAAATGTTTCACATTAACATCATTCTTTGATTTCTTAAAATACTTTTTGAGTACCTCCTTTGCATCAGGCACTATGCAAAGACAGCAGTGTTCAAGACAGTACTGTGCGCTGAGCAAGATGGCACCATAAGCATTGTGCTTATAGCGTCCTCTCTTCTAGTGGGGACAAAAAGACAATATAAATAAATATGTAATCAAATATACATTATGTCAAATGGTGGAAAAGGTTTTGGGAAAAATTAAGTAGATCAGAGCTAATCAGAGAAGACTGCTTCTACTCTGTACTAGTCAACTTTCTCGTTGTTGGACAAACTACCTGACACCTACAGTTTACAGGAGGAGAGGTTTAATTTGGCTCATGGTTTCAAAAGTTTTAGTCTGTGATTAGTGGCTTCAGCACAAAAAGATTGTGGCAGAAGGGTGTGGTAGAGCAAAACAGTTTAATTCATGGCAGCTGGGAAGCAGGGCATGGGAATAGTGCCAGAAAGGAAAGGGCCAGGGAGCATGTATAGCACTCAAAGTAACACCGCCATAACCCATCCAGACACACCCAGAGTGTGCTTTGCTAATATCCTGGAAATCTCTGAAGACAATCAAGTTGACAATCCAGCTTAACTACCACACACTTTAACATGAGTGTCATTGGTAGAGTAGAGTAAAAAAAAAGAAAAGAAAAAGAAAAAAACCCAGCTGTCACAGAGGTGGCTGATCCTTCTGAATAAAACAGTCCCATGAATCCACCTGTTAGGGGGTCCCCATCTATGGCAGAAAGAGGATAATGAGCTGCTGGCAGTATCTACTGTGAGCTTTGTGCTTCAGAGACATCTTCTTATGGAACCCCTACAGCAATCCTATGAAACAGGAGAAGAAGTGTAAGCTCAGGAAGTATAAAAATGTGCCTGAAGTTCACATGACTGATCATTGGTGGATCAGCCCACTCAGATTCTACTTCTCCACTGGTATCAGGGGTCAAGATGTAGTACAGTGTCTCACTTAGGATTTTTCCAAGCCAGAGGGTATGGAGAACTTCGAGAAGGAATGAGAGGGCCAAAATGAATGAGACCAATTTTTCTTTAAGACAATGTAGGCAGGGGTAGGAAGGATTCTGAAGAGAGACTTTTATATGCAGAATAGACCAAGGCCTTTGAAGACAGAAACCAAGGCACAGATTCAAGTGGGAGCTCAGGTTTCCACATGAAAACAGGCAGGCTCTTTAGGAGCCAATAGACAGTACCCTGAAGGATGATATTCTGAATCACTTCCAGTCACATAATCTGAATGTCACACCCATCCCTAGGTTCAAATTTCTCTTTGGCTTAAAAATGGAATTTTACACCCATTCTTAAGGGCTAATTCAGCATAGTCCAAGAAGAGGCACCTGGGACTATATTAAGATTTTGGTCAGTTACAATGAAGGTTCTGGGAATTCAGAAAACCTGCAGATCTTTGGGTTGGAGCTGACAGGAAAGCTGCTACCCAAAGGGAGGTTCTCTTTTTTCCTCCAAATCTTGATCCCAAGAAAGGTTCTGATCCATGCTTTCTACTGGAACAGGGTGAGGAGGCATCATGTGCACAGAAATGTTGGAAATGTGGAATATGGACAGGGCCTCCACAGTTTTATTAGACAAGAGAGATACAAGGTGCCATAGAGTGGAAACATCTATATATTAGAGTGGTCTCTTTGTTCAAAGATTTTATTATCTGGTTGAGAATGCAAAACATAAAAAAATGAAAAACAGTAACACAAGTGATATCACAAGTTGGTACTGAATGACAAAGGAAGGGCTCAATCATACTCTGAGGATTCAAGTTTCTGGGAAGTCCCCCTGTGGGAGTAGGGACATAAATGAGAGGCATGGGTTAGAATTCACTATTGGATTTTGGAAAGGAAAAGGAACAAGAAGGTTGTGAACAAGAGTGGAGGAGTGTGAAGGAAGGGTCTAAAATTAATACCCCATTCTTTCATTTTTTTCTTTCCTTCCTTGCAGTCTTGAGAAGGAAAATTATGATGTCTGGGCTAAAGTGGTAAGGCTCAATGAAGAGTTGGAGAAGGAAAAGAAGAAGTTCGGAGCTCTGGAAATTAGCCTTCGGAATGTGGAACGCTCCCGGGAGGATGTGGAGAGGAGGAACAAGGTTTTGGAAGATGAAGTCAAAGAATTTGTCAAATCAATGAAGGAGCCCAAGACTGATCCTTGAGGGTCCTAGAAATACCACAAGGGCAACCCAAGAAAAGCTTGACTCTGCTCCTTTTCTCAGTGGTGTGTAACAACTGGAAAGGTAATTTAACTCCCTAAGAGGGAAAGGACATTTTAGGGGAAATGTCACATTGCCCAATAAGTAAATCAATGGAGTTTGCAGAGGGATGAGGATGAGGGGAAATACATCTGCACACCTATGACCACTTGTCACTGAACTCAAAGGAATTGTATTATTCCTCTGTGTCCTTGGGAAGAGTGAATGAAACCTTCCATGGTGGATAACTAGTTCCAACAGAGATGTATGAGACAGGTGATATCTCAGGACCCAGGCAGAAAGCTGGCCCAAACTTGAACCTGGGCAGAGACATTAGTTCTTTGTTTCTGAATAGAATGACTCACTCAGTCAGATGGCCTTAGGCATCTGAGGCATGGGGCAGAAAATGGTATTCAGTTCTCCAAAGCTCATCCAGGAGGACTATGATTGGGAGGCTCCACCCGCTGGTGTGGGAACCCCATTCTGCCATCCTCGTCACAATGCACATTCGTCATTCTCCAGGGGTTCTCAGACATAATATTAGATTAATACAAAGCAAGCAATAAACTGTATTTATAAAAGCAAAATTGAAGACACAATTCTATTCAAATAAAGTAATCTTAAAAACAAAAAAGAAAGAGCAAGCCTCTTGCTAATTCATACAACACCTTTGTAAGATTTAGTAAATGACATCCTTTCCTCAGAGCAGGTATACCTGTCTGAGGGGCATGTGGCTGGGTGACCAGGACGTGGGCTATATTCAAGTCCCCACTTGCCTTTCAGTGGCCTCAACTGTGTGTGGAGGGCCCAAGAACAAAGGCTTCCTACTATGTTGTGACCTCCTTAGAGACTTGTGAGTTTACGTATTGAAAGTTATGAGAATAATATTTTTTCCATTTGCCAAAATGCAAGTGATTTCACCTTATAAAGCTACATTGGGCACTAGACAACATCTGGGAGATGAGTTTTCCCAGAAGATGGCTGACTATTCCTCTTCTAGGTCAAACCATCTTCGCATTGGCCCCCTGGTCAGGCCTCAGAACCCCAGGAAGGTTAGTCTAGTTAGGTGATCTCTAGGTAATTTTTGACTTTTAAGTACCTTCAGTAGAAAATGTAGGCATATTTATTTATTCATGATTTACAGTCAGCCCTCTGTATTTGTGGGATCTTCATCTGTGGATTCAACAAACTTCAGATAAAAACTGTTTGGGGGAATATTGCATCTGTACTGAATGTGTGCAGACTTTTTTCTTGTCCTGATTCCCTAAACAATATAACAACTATTTACATAGCATTTACTATGTATTAAATATTATGAGTAATCTAGAGATGACTTAAAGTATACAGGAAGGAGGTGTGTGTAGGTTATATACCACTTTTTATGAGGAACTTGAGTGTCCAAAAAGTTTAGTGTCTGTATGAGATTCTGGAATTACTCTTCCACAGATATTTGAGGGATAACTATACATATGTACTACTGTATTGCTACATTATGTATCTTATAAAACACACATAATCTGAATAATGATGAAATTAAAAACAAGATGCATAGATGTTCTCTAATAGTCTTTCAACTCTGGAGGTCACCAGCCCAGTTGCCCTACAGGTATTATCTGCACCAGTTTTGTATCTTTTGTCCCATTGCTCCTATAAACTTACTTGAACTGTAGAAACCACATGGCTAAATTGGTGGTTTCCAATCTGAATCACCACAATAAGAGTTTAGTCCTTCCCAGCACATATGCCTCCTCTGTTATTACCTTTTCCCTGTTTTCTTCATCTGATTAATCTTCCCTGCCTTTGACCTTGACTTATTACCCACAGAGTGAAACATACAATCAGGAGTGTCAGTATTTCTTACTCCTGGTGCTCAGACCCTGATCCACCATCCCCAGCCCTTTGAGAACCATTTTGCTGGAGAGGGGTATGGCACAGAGCATCCTCCGAGAGGCCGACTTATAGAAGGTAGTGGTGGTGGGGTGAGGGGGAGATTTGGGGCATTATTAGGAAAATCAATAAAATATTTGATTACTGCAATCTACTTAATTACAGTCACAAACATGACACCCTTTATTGGACACCTGTTTTGTTTTGTTTTGTTTTGTTTTTGAGACGGGGCCTCACTATGTAGTTCAGGCTGGCCTTGAGCGCACTATATAGCGCTGGCTAACTCATGGCATTCCTCTTGCCTCCACGTCCTGAGTGCTGGGATTTCAGGTGTGCACCATCATGCCTGGCTTATTGGACACCTAACTTTAGTTGATGAGTAGCTGCAGTTCTGCCAGCATATGTCCCTATCTTCTCCCACAGATGTCTCACAGACTCATTAGGCACTAAACCAGAGTCGAGTATGGAAGTGGTCAGCATCACAGCTCCACAAAGAACATATGTCTGACAGTGCAAAGAGGAGGCCCTGAAGTGTGTTTTGAAGCCAATATTCTAGGACCTTGCTAGGCTTGGCAGCTAGGGCTCAGGCCTAGTGCCACCTTTGAATCCCAACTCTCCTGGTCTGAGAATGCTTCTAGCTCTATCCCTTCCATTAGTGATGTGAGAAGCAGAGCAGCCCTTCCAGCTTCAGAACACTGGGCAATCAAGGAAAGAATCTGGCTTTCTTAAGGTGCCATTCTTTGGTCATATGCCACCCTCCACAAAACACAAACACAGGGTTCTTCCAGGACTGTTGATCCTTTTGACTCCAAAGGGACCCAGGGAACATCAGGAGTCTGATGCCACTGTACTCAGTGCCTCAAAAGGATAAGCATGAGATGCATGGCAGGGTCACTCTAGGCCTTGCCTGAGCCGAGGTCCAGTTTCTGGTAGGAGGTACTGTAGATTGATCTATGTCAGGTGTTCTGTTGGACCCAGGAACTCGCATTTTTATTTTCTAAACCACTGGATGGACAGGACTGCACGAAATCTGTCTCCCTTGCCCCTTTCCACCTTCTCCTGCTGTGCCCACTCACGTACTAAAAACACACAAAGGCCTCCAACATGTACTTTAACTCCTTGCCCTCTTCCCTGAAACACTTCTTTTCCCTCGAAGTCTTGAAGATGGCACATATCAGGACTCATTTCTCTGAAGTGTAAGGCAGAATTGGTGCCTTTCCAGTGTGCTTATGTAATGTATGAGAAAAATTTATACCAGGGAATCGTCTGGGATGATTCCCTCTAAGTAGATTTTTGAGGCCCAAAGAGACCAAGTGTGGCATTGCAGCACAGAGCCTGCTGCATAGGATGTAAGCAATAAACATTATTGTTGTTTCTTTGGACCAACTTCCTTAAGCTCTGCTCAGAAAAGCAAGAAGCAGGAAACTCCAAAGCAGCCAAAGACTACTGAAAGGGACAGGACAAGGAGTGCACAACAACTGCTGGCTGGGCTCCACAGGCTGGGAACGGGAAGATGTGTGCACATTGACATCGAGTAAACTTCCACATTTCACCACTTCCTGTGCAGATACCAGCAGGGAGCAATCCATGTGCTTGCTGGAGAGAAGAGAGAACAGTCCTGCAATTAAAACAGGCTGTCTTTACAAGAATCATATGGAAGCCTTCATCCTGCCTGAGGAAGCGGGGAAGAGGGAGGCCCGAGAATGAAACTGCAGCTGCATTAGCCCAGGTCACATTTGCTCAGTAGAAGAAAGAACTGGAGCTGCAGGGCTTGTGGCTCAGAAGATTTTCCAGGGTAAACTCAGATAAAGAATGAACAGAATACCCACAAGGATGTGTAATGATTCTATTTTCTCTGATACTGTCTTAGAATCATAGGACGATAGAACTGGAAGAAATTTTGAATGTATGTAATCCAAACTGTTTATTTAACAGACAGGCAAATTGAGGCCTCAAGACATAAACTGAATAGCTAGTGTTCCCACAGCAATAAGAAAGAAGACTAAAGGAGATGATTTTCAAAGGGTCCTCTAGCTCACCAATCAAAGATTCTTGTGATTCTTAGCTTCTTTCCAAGGGTTCTTTCTCCAAAATTGCAGCCAAACTGCAACTTTGACTCACAATCAAGACCTGCCTAAGAAAATGCCATTGTTTCACTTGCTTTCTATTACTGATATTGCTCTAAAACAGTGGCTCTCAGTCTTGGCTACATGGTAGAATCACTTTAGGACCTTAAACAAAATTCTGATGCTCATATTCTACCCCGCATCAACTGAATCAGAATCTTTTCAGGTGGGCCCTAAGAATTGATGTTTTTTAAAAATTTCACTTGATACTAATGCACAACCAGGATTGTTAAACACTGTTCTAAAACTATGAAGTTTGGCTCTCATCATGACTAGTGATTATATTAATCTACCAGCTTCCTTCCAATAAAACAATTTTATTCTCTGGTCATCCTTTAATAATGGTTTATCATATACTCATTCATTTAGGATAAAGCATGCCTAAGAGATAAAGAATGGATTTATTACATACCCATTTTCAGATGGTGAAAACTCACCTAAAAGAGATTTCAAAAAATCTCACTGTAACAGTAACTTAGTCACAGACAAATCCAAGGATTTTGAGATCCTCTCAACTTACTTGAAAGGTTGACTTTCTACCTAGGCAAACAAGGTAAGCACTTGAAGGTCTGATTTTAAGACTCCTAAGAATATCTCTGATTAAAACCATCTCCCTTTCAGACTCAGGTTAGATCAAGAAACCCCTGCTAGTAGCCCTCACAAATGTGATTTTACCGGCAGACAACTGTGAGGCCTCCATCAATCATCTATATTACCTTTTTATCAGTTGTCTGATTCCTAGCAGAGAGCTGTGAAATGAAGAAATGTGTGCCTGCCTGGATAAGATATGTTATGGGTGAAGGAATAGGAATAAATCACATCAAGGATGGGATGTGACCAAGGAATACTGCAGTGTGGGCCATGACCACCTGGGATGGGGTGAGGATCAGAGATAGGCGACAGGAGAATTCAGACTGCAGGACAGAGAAAAGCCAGTTTGCCCCCAAGAGTGCCTGATAGCTGGTTGAAGTTGGCATTTTGACTTCCCCTCTGTCTTCTGTTCTCCTCTTTATTGTTAAGTTCCCAGTCCTGCCAAAGCTCACCACACTAAACGCATCCTGGATCCCCTTGACACCAGTCCCAGCATAACAATAACTACCATTAAGAGCTGCAGATGTTTTTTGCTCTCCACTGAGATCTGTGCTGAGCATTTTGTATATCATCTCCTTTAGCTCTCAGACTAACTTTTTTTTTTTTTTTCTGGTACTGGGGATCGAACTCAGGTCCTTGCCCTTGCGATGCAGGCAGTGGAACCACTGAGCTAAATCCCCAGCCCTCAGACTAACTTTTAAAAATTGCAACCAAACCTGTTTTGCTGAGGTTTTAATGCAGTAGAGCTAGGAACAGAAGTGGGCCTGTCTGTGTGATGCTTTATTGGCCATGCTTTCATGTAGGGAAGAGGTGCAGTATCAAAACTACATCTTAGGAATGAAGAAGTAAGATAAAATTTCCACATGCTACTACTTGGATTTCGAATGCCCCCCCTCCACAAAGCCCATGTATTGAAGGCTTCATCTCTAGCCTGTGGCACTCCTGGGAGGTGGTGGGATCTCTAACAAGTGGACTTTAGCTGAAGGAAGTCAGGTCGTTGGGGGCATGACCTTGCAGGGAATATTGGAACCATGGCCCACCTCTGCCTTTCTGTTTTTGCTTCTCAGCCACCATGATTTGAGCAGCTTCCTCTACCATATACTCCATTATAATGAACAGTCTTAACATACATCCAGATCAACATGACCAAGTAACCATTGACTGAAACATCTAAAACTGTGAGCCATAATGAAACATTCCTCTTTTTAAGTTGATTGTCACAGGTATTTTGTTATAGTAACACAAAACTAAGATACCAAGAACATGTTCTATTCAAAGAGAACCCCGACAAGAGTTTAGGAAAGAACCACTAATTGTGACTTCTCTGATTCAACATCAAGATAGAGACATACTTGCAGACAGAAGCCTTCCCCATTGCCTTGAGTCACACTGACCTGCTTGGGCTGGATGGCCAGGAGGCTGAATGTCTCCTGACCCTTTCCTGGAGGCGTCATGCATCATCCCATGCATCAGCTCCACCCTCAAAAGGCCTATTGGGAATACTCTGGGATTAGGGTCTCCTTGGAGTCTCTGGTTCCATGTGGCTAAGGACCTCCATGTCAAACTTCCTTATTTATTCTCAACCCTTCTTTCCACCTAGAAACTTGTTCTGCTTCCTTGTGTCTAGGAGGGCCCTCAAGTGGAGTGGACTGAAAAATGTATTGCCAGGAGAGATTTAAAGGAGAAAAACACCTCTTCATGTTCCCCAGTGTGAACGGTGTGTCATTATTGGAGGAAATAGGGTCACATATTCCCATCCCTTCCTCATTTTGAGATGTGTCAAGTTAAATATAGGCTCTGTCCTTTGGAAGTTTATAGCGTAAGATAGCCTGTCCCAACTGGAGGTTTGTAGCTTCCAGATGCAGTACACTGGAATGTCTTCAGCCTATTTCACATGGTCCAGATGTTTTCAAAACACTCCTGGTAGATAAGCAAGCAGAGAAAACATTGCCATGTGACTGCTTTGAGGCAGGGCCCATCTATATGCATTGACAAGGATTTGCCCTCTGCTTCTTGTATTTTATCATTGCCAACTTTCTGGAAAGGATACAAAGCCCTTACTTGTTTTAGAAGTCACTCATTCCCAAGCTGTGAAAGAGAGTAATGGTTTGCAACTGCACCACTTTTAAGAAATGTGGGGGTGAGCACATGGCCCAGTTCAGCTGAACTGGGGCAGGATGCTAGACATATTCTGCAAGACATATTCAAGACATATTGAACCTGATCCCCAGGAAGCAGGTGGTCTGGGTTAGGTACTAGATCTAGTTAAGAGCTGGATACAGTCTTCCCTTGGTGTTTTCAGAGGACTAGTGCCAGCATCCCTTCCAGATTCCAACATCCATGGATACCCAAGTCCTTTCTATATAACACCTTAGTATTTGTATATAATCTACAAATCATCTGTAGGTTATTTATAATGCATAATACAATGTAAATGCTATGTAAGCTGTTGTTATACTGTATTGTTTGAGGAATAATAAGAAAATGTACACATATTCAGTTACAAGTGCAATATTTTTGTATTATTTTCTATCTGTGGCTGGTTGGACCTGTGAAATCCGAACCTGTAGATACAGAGGACTAAGCTATATTAGCTTTAATGAAAAAACAACTGCAACTGGTAAAGGCCTTCACCATGTTGTCATATTGATTTTACTCACTTTTTTAAATGCTGGCTATTATGCAAAACCAACCCTTAGAATTGGAGCTATTACTTTTAAAATCTCATATAGCATTTCATATTATGAGGACCAATTCTGTGAATATCAGTGGTTTGGCTTGCTGTTCATGTTTCAATTGCTCTTCTGAAAGAATCACAATATATTCCTCAAAGAATTTGAGGTAATGGGAGAAATGAGTATATGAAAATCATACAGCATTCAACTGTTGCTATGCTAATCTTGAAACAGCAGCTGTCTACACAGAGATAATCTGAGTAGTGGTCCCAATTATTTTTTTTTCCTTTGTGCAAGAAAATTGCACCCAAGGTGTAGTAAAATGTCACAACAATGATTCTTGTTCCTACAGTTAATGGCAATTTAGAAGAGCTACACTTGACTAGGGCTATTTTTAAAAAGCACAATTATTGAACATTTTGACACTCTTTATTCTAGAACAACTGTCCAGTTTGGTCGATTCAATTACATGGTAAATTTATTCATTATAGAGAATCATCAATCTTGTTTTGTTTTGGCATGGTGGTGGTGGTGGTGGGTGTGTGTGTGTGTGTGTGTGTGTGTGTGTGTTTACACCATTGAAGAAGACTCAGGCTTTCTCTTTTTTCACAGAGAATTTTTTTTCAAGGCATATTTCAGTCACACAGAGTCCAGACCTCAGTATATTTGCACACAGAAGGTCTGGTGCTTGCTGAAGTTTGTGAGCCAGCACATGTACCACAGCTCCTGCTGCTCTCACAAGGGGGCAGCAGCCCAGTTAATCGCCTCTAGCTCTTGTCTGCCTAGCGAGAACACACTATCCATGTTTTCAGTACATGTCTCTAGCTCTGGATTAAGTTTGTACGCCCTGAAGATTGGGTAATTACTTAGAGAAGTGTTTCCCCAAAGCTTGTTCTTGAAACTATTCTCTTTGTAAGGAAAAATTCTTTGAAGAGTAGATTCCATGGCCAAATAAGCTCATGAAACCTTGTACCGTCCCAAGACTCCAAGACTCACAAGGCAGCAGCTTCATCATATTTGAAGTCTAATTCTTAAGCATATCACATGACAATCACCTGTTGTCAAAATTACCTTGGAAGCCGGGGATTTAGCTCAGTGGTTTCGCTGCGTGCTGTGCAAGCGGAAGGACCCAAGTTCGAACCCCAGTACCAAAAAAAAGAAAAAAAAAAAGAAAGCAAAATTACCTTGGAAAATCCCCCAACATCACGTATAAGGTTCATAATTCATACCTATATATATCCTGTCCACTAAGATACAATGCTAAAGTAAAGTAAATGATGAAAGCGAGACTATAAGCCACTGAACTGGCCCTAGTGATTGCAATCACCATTTTTTGACCCCCTGCTTAAATTGATATTTTTATTTTTCATCTAGTGCATAGTTTAATTCATATAATATATATGTCTATGCAAAATTGAAATTAATAATTATTGTAATAGAAATCACAGTAATAGTTGCTAAGATTTATTGGGTGCTGACTGTGCCTGCCACAGTTCTGAGCACTTTATTTATAGTAGCTGGTTTAATCCAAACAACCTCCAGGACGTACATACAAGTACCATGACTTGCTCTGCTGTGCTCCTACCTTTGGCAATAGTGACTCTGCAAATTGTCCTGCACTCAGTGAAAATGTCCTTCTGGTAGCTTCTGGGGATGAGCATGGAGCCAGGGCAGGTTTAGTGCAAGGTTAATGCTTCAGAGAATCTCCAGTAATTGGGTATTGATTACCTGACAAACTGGTTTTTTGACAAATGAGTCTTCTTTTACATATGAATAACCAACCTTGGCCAACTTGAAATCCAGATTTACAGGAAACCATAAGAAAGTGCATCACTGAAGTTCCCACCTGACAGGAAGAGAGGTGAACAGTCAGGGCAGAGCCACTTCCTGAGCTGCTGAACTGAACAGCACAATGAGGAGGGGAACCCAGCAGTGAGAAACCCACAGAGAGATCAGAGGGACATTGCAGGCAGAGGACACTGCTATTTGTAACTGGGGTGGGGTGAAGGCCTAAGTTCCTTAAGGGGCAGGTTCAGCACTACAGGGCCAGGGAAAGGGCAAGG